GATCGGGGGACGAGAAACCAAGCCCTCTGAGGAAAGACTGAAAGAACTTGGCATGTTTCGTCTTGAGAAAAGAAGACCTGGTTTCTTAACTGTTAGAGGAGTATGACAATGGAACCCATGACCTCAGGAGGGGGTGGGCGCTCCAACGCTGGAGGCCTTCAAGAGAACATTGGACAACCCTCTGTCCGATCTGCTTTGATTGGGATTCCTGCCTGGAGCAGAGGGTTGGACTGGATGGCCTTCGAAGCCCCTTCCAACTCCTTGATTCTATGATTTTATTTTCCTGGGGAGATGGGAAAACAATTCCATCAGCACAGAGAGAGTCAAGGGGGCCCTGATATTCTTCGGGCCACTTCTCACCTCCTAGCCCTGTGCTATGTTCAGGAATGACTGGTGTGGGTGGGCGGGTGGGCGTCCGTCTGTGTGTGAGAGAAAGAGAAAACAACCAGGGAGATGGCAGGAGAACGTTGCCTCATCCAACTTCTAGCCAAATGGCTGATCATCTGATTAAGCCATTTATAGGCTTAACCCCTTCCGAGAGCAGGTGGCAGAACTGCCTAAATGACATCTTCCCTTACATTTGAACTTTACACACCAGGCTCTTCTCTTTGCTTAGAAGGACCTCCAATCCTTTGTTTCTCCTGTGAGTAAAGCCAGCCTTGTTAGCCTTGGGCCAGCTGCACTAGGGTAGGGTGCCCCTAGAGGAAAGGAATGGTAACACACTTCTGAATCCTCTCTGCCTGGAAAACCCTTGAATGGGTCGCTGTAAGTCAGAATTGACTTGATGTCATGTGATTAAGTATAGCTGTCTTCTGAATCCTCTCTGCCTGGAAAACCCTTGAACGGGTTGCTATAAGTCAGAATTGACTTGATGTCATGTGATTAATAAAGGTATAGCTGTAGTCCTTCCTTTTGTATGAGCTTAGAGAATTATCCGTAGCTTTCCATTCATGTTCCTCTCCATGCACAGCCTTAAAAATTGGTTGTGTGCAGAAGAGCCTACCCATGTTGGTCAATTAACACTTCAGAAAGAAAAAGAAAAACACTGATGCATCATCGGTTTGATGGCAATGTCCCATAGCTGGGCAGTTTTGATCAATGCATATTGGCTCACCTGCTGATCTGTAGACCGGAAAGGGGTTGCTGAGTGAATGCTTGCTCGTGCCAGTTGCGACTTTAAGGGTAGACCTTTTGTAAATTAAACCAGAAGGTAGGTGGAACCTAGTCGATGAGAGAGTCTAAAGCCATGGAAGACGAACAAACACAGAACCTGGGTTATTGGCACAAATTTAAGACTCAAACACCAGCCTGCCTCCAAACGATAGCACTTTGTGCCACATGCTTTCGGTGTCAGCCATGCCATGCCCATGGCGTGTTCCAAGCTATGAAGCAAAGCCTAGTGACAGTAAATCTCTGTGTGTATCTGCTCCTAATTCAGCTATAATTGGGAATTGTAATCGGAGCTGGGCTGGGACTTTTCTCCCCTCCAAACCCCTTCCTTTTCAGTGAAGCGGGAGGTTTATGGATCTTTGCCAGTCAACGCTTGCCATCTAGTGGTGCAGATAAATCGCGGACCAATTTCAGCAGTCACCTTCAGCAGAACATGAGGTCAAACGCCGAAGCGCTTCTCTGCTCAGGCCAAAAATATGCTGGAACTGGAAGTCTAATTCCATAATGTCATGGTGTAAAAATAGACCTTGAAAATCCAAACCAGTGGATTTCATCTCGTACGACACTAGAACGCAGAGCTACTCAAAGAATTGGTCTAGGGTCTAGATCTGGAATCGAAAGGGGTGGGGGAAGACTTCTCCATATAACAGCAAATTTACTTAAGGAATTCAGTACTGTTTAGTACTGTTTCCTTCAAGGAAACATTAAGAAGGACGCCAGCAAACTGGAGCAAGTTGAGAGGAGGGCAACAAGGATGATTGAGGGGGGCCGGAAACCATGTCCTAAGAGGAAAGACTGAAAGAACTGGGCATGTTTAGCCTTGAGAAAAACAAGACCTGATAGGGGGAAAAGGATAGGATCTGCTTTGATTTGGATTCCTGCTTTGAGCAGAGGGTTGGACTCGATGGCCTTTGAGGCCCTTTCCAAATCCCTTGTTCAATGATTCTATGATTCATCCTTGCGGCAATGAACCCCATAGACCACCCTCAGATGAATTCAGGAAGGGGAACTCCCTTGCATGCGTGTCTGCATGTTTCCTTTCACTATATTGCATCTCATTTTATCCCGGTCAACCACCTATAAAGTACATCTCCCGCTGCATAGCTGGCTTGGTGTCTTCATAAGGACTCTAAAAGGTAAATGTTCCCCTTGACATTTAGTCTAGTCATGTCCGACACTATGGCGTGGTGCTCATCCCCGTTTCCAAGCCGTAGAGCCAGCGTTTTGTCCATAGACAGTTTCCGTGGTCACGTGGCCAGCGCAACTAGACACAGAACACCATGACCTACCCTCCAAGGTGGTACCTATTTATCTACTCGCATTTACATGCTTTTGAACGGCTAGGTTGTCTGGAGCCAGGACAAGCAATGGGAGCTCACTTTGTTGCGTGGATTCGATCTTACGACTGCTGGTCTTCTGACCCTGCAGCACAGAGGCTTCTGCGGATTAACCCGCAGCACCACCATGTCCCACCATAAGGACTCTAAGCTGGTGCAAAATCTCTAATTAGCACAGATGCCAAAAAGACACATTAACTAACCTAGATGCCTGTTAAAAAAACTAGCAGAGATCCTGAAAGATGCATTAATAATAATGTGAATCCTCAAGATGAGTTTGTGTTTTTTTCATGGGAAATCTTGAGAACACCATTTCAGTCAAGATGGTTGAATGCAGCAAAAGAGGAAAACCTCATCCTTATTGCTTGTTACCCAAAATGGGTACGCCCTTTCTCCCCCACGTAACATCCAGTCTTGCCAGAGCAGCCAAGAGGTGACTGTACCATCCGAGTTGTTTCATAACTCAAATTGGTATGAGTTGCGTGGCTTGTTGTATTTACTGGGGAACAGGAACGACGGAGGGGATAGCTCGCTTCTCTTGGAAACACATTGAGCTGAGAGGTCCCCAAACCAATTATTTAAAGCTCACAGATCACTAAGCTGGATAGAGGAAGACATCCCGATAAATTCCTATTTGCCAGGGAAACGGACGAAAACTCTGACCGACCCGCCTGCCCTTCCCAAGCTGCTCTGCTTACTTTATGCACTTATTAAACGTGGATTATATCTAGTTACTTCCCCAGATATTTCACTCTCCCACCCCCTGCCGTTTTTAATGTTCAGGAAGAGAGCGGCTGGGAGGGTAAAACCCCGTCAGATAAATGTAATGTGTGCTATTACTTTGATAAATGAAAGCGAGCGGGCGCACGGCAAGCCGGGAGCCCGCTGAGAACTGAAAGGCCACATCCACGGCTTTTGAGAGGCTAAGGTCCTTGTATCGTTTGGGCGTGTTCAGAGCATCCCTAAAAACAAGACAAAATAAAGATATAAGCTTCCCTCCCTGCTTTCTATTTATTCCTTTTTTTCCATTTCTTTTAAAAGTTATTACTATTTGTGATGTTTTCCAGTAACACCCTTCAAAGAAAATAATGATTTTTTAAGGGATACAGCACGCAGTGAACAGCTGGCCAGTGGCTACCAGCCAAAGCACAGTGGTCCATTAAAAGACCTCAAGGGGATTCAAGGCACCACTTCAATGTGGTGGCTGGCAGCCGAATCAAAAGGGATTCATCCAGAACTTGAAGTGGTCCTTTGGCTGCACGCATGGTACACACGTTCCCCATTCCCTTCTTCTGGGGGCATTTCTGCAATTGTGCAGCTGGCCCAAAGTCACCTAGGCTGGCTTTTCTCCCAGGAGGCACCCAATGGGGAATCGAACTCCCACCTCTGGTTCTGCGGCTGGATACTCCAACCACTGAGCTATGCAGCCTGAATGATCGTTAACCAGCAGGCGACATTTCTATTCATGGTGTGTCTGTCTAGTGCCATATTCTTTTGACAGCCACTCCCATGGCTTAGCTGTTTCTAATTTAACAGCTGTAAGGGTTGGGCGCTTCCAGTTTTCATTCTTCTCCATACAAGGGGGAGGGAGAGACATGCTAAATAACTGTTCTTTTCTATGATTTTATGATTTATATGAATTGTCTGGCTTCTTGAAAGAGTTTTGTGATCACCCTGTCAGTTTACTAGACCGGGTGAGCCACAGAACAGTGTCAAGCGGGGATAACAGCACATGGCGCCATCTTGATTATCCCAGAATGCTTCTGGGCACCAATGTCACCCAGAAGCATTCTGGGAGGTCGCTAATATGAGGACGGAGGCTATAAGCACGTCACCTAATCCGTGTGCTATCCTCCCCCCAAAAGCGTAAGGCTCTGTGGACCCATGTGCCTGCTGTTTTTCCACCACAGCATGGCCATCGTAGCTAGCCTGAATCCATCAAGCCGAAGCCAACAACCATCTGTTCGTAGGTAGAGCCGGTACTAACCAGCGGCATCTGAGGGCATCTGTTAGAGAGCCAAGACTGTTGACCGAGGCAGGGGCAGGCAGGTTGAAGGGGGCCAGCTTCAATTCCAAGGGGACGCTTGGTCTCCCTGGGGGAGAAGCAGCCCCAGGACAGGCGGCTTGCTTTTTGTGCCTGAGATCACACACGATGAGTTTTCCAGAAGCCATACCAGTAGGAGAAAATCTGGGAGCGCAAATCCAGATGTTATGCATGGTAAATACATAAAATGAGCCAAAGACGGGAGTAGCAGAAATGTGGGGTTGCAAAAGCACATTACGACTGCCAACTGCGTTTCCCAGGGAATGGTTGGGGGGGGAGTGTCCCCACAAGAGGGCTAAATATCTCAAAACCTTCTTCATTCCAAGATCTAGGCAGCAGCCCATCCGGTGTGCTGGGTTGGGCTCTCCTGCTAGCAAGATGACATACGGAGATTAATTAAAGGACAAATGTACCACTTCTGAGATTCTTTATTTAGCAGGCAGATCCTGGGTCAGATAACGACATTAAATATATATATCCTCTTCTTCTGCACATGGCTGTTGCCTGTACACCCCCCCCCCGACAGCGGGATAAGGCACGATCCAGAGTTCACAGGTCCACAAGGAAGCGAGACACCTGAGAGTGGTATGCAGGGGTCAAGTAGTCGGCCAGCTCCTCCTTACTGACCCACACGTAGTCCACTTTCTCCCTAGCCAAGGGCCAGTGGCTGCCCTGCAGGAAGGCTTTGAAGAAGAACACCTTGCCTCCGAGGAAGCCTTCCGCACGGAGCGCCTTGGGAAACTTGTATTTGTAGAAGCCGCAAGGGGCGTTCCCAAGAAACTTTGCTTGCAGTGGGTTTCCTTCAGGATTCCAGGGTCCGGCAGGGGAAAAGGAGAAATATATATATATATATATCCATATCAGAGCAGGGGATACAGCAAGGGACTTTTTACATTTAATGCTCAAAGACTCTGCCCTTGCATCTATATTTAAAGATGTTTCCCTTTCGCTGGATTTTTAAAATACAGCTGATTAGCAGCAACGGTATTAACACTAATGTAGACTTCTGAAAGATTCAACGGCAGTGTCTTTCATATCAACACATTTCAGCTTGGCTTGCGTTTACACCTAATGGTAGGCCACAGTTCAGAAGTGTTTATCCTTGTGTTCTCCACCCCACAGAGAGAAGCAGAAGGAAGCAACAAGGAAGGAGCTGGGAGTGAGAAAGGAGGGCCCCAGGATTGGACATAATATTCAGCTGAATGGTTTTATATTGTTTTCCCCCATGGGGTGCAATTAGGAGAAACAAAGCAGCAGTGAAGGAGTTGCACGTTAGGTGTGCTGTAGGACCTCTGCCAGCCACCAGCCAGGGAGTCTCCCATTTTTAAGTCCCTCTCTCAGCCATTCTGCACCCCAGGTTCTCAAACATCTAGCAAACCGTTGCCATCCAACAACTTATTGGCTGGGCCTGCCCTAGCTGAGGCCGGCAAGTGGGTTTAGGCCATACACAATTATGCTCAGTCCCCCTTCCAGGGCTGATGCTACAAAAAACCTACATTAAGCACCCTCGCTAAACAATCTGCAAAAGCCAGACTGATTTGAGTTTCTGTTTGAAAAGCAAAGCAGGGTACATATTAAAGAGAAAGAAGAAGAAAAAAAAGGGGGGAAACATAAGCACTTCACGCAAAAAGAGTCATTTCAGGCACAGCAAGGGTGAAAAACAGCCAATGATGAATAATATGGTATTTAAGAGCATACGCTATTAATTAAGAACTCAAGCTGAAAGTCTGCTGTTCTTACCCTCACTATGAAATTTAAATAGACATGTGTGTGTGTGTGTGTGTGTGTGTATGTATATATATATATATAATATTTCTCTGAATTAAAATCAGACGGGCTTACACAAAGAGAGAAATATGTACATAAAACTTAAAATAGTCAGCAACGTGGAAAAGACGAGCAGACTTTCAGTACGAGCCAAACGGGCTGAAGTCACCACAATCTAGTATGAAGTGGGTGTTTTGATGATTAATTTTATAGCATCATCCATGTGCACAAGGATTTGCAAAAATAAGAAGGGGGGGGGAAGAGAACTCTCTTAACTCCTTGAGCTGACCCTCTAAACGCACAGAGAAGAGAAAGGAACCAGAGGTGGGAGGAAAATGTGGAGAAGATATCGTTTTTTACGCAGGCAGATCTGTCACTGACCTGAGAGAGTCGCCAAGCCCCGCTCTGCTGTCTCTCGCAGGGTCTCCCCCGCCTCCCACTCTGTCTGGGGCAAAAGCCAAACCGTTTGGTCACCAAAGTTGTGCTTCACCAGTAGTAGCAGGTTCTGGTCCAGCTTTCTGTTCAAAGAAGTCCGGTCATTGTTTTTGTCAGCATCTGGAGTGAGGAAAAAAAAGCCCAGAGAATCACTGACAAGGCTGCCTGCCGGAGGAGAACTCATCCAGAAGGGTCTGCCAGAGGCATCGGAGGAAGAGTCACACCGAGCCACCCCGACGAGCCACCCCGGGCACAAAAGGTGCCTCGACAGAAGCATCGTTCAGCGCTACTTGCCGTCTGGATGAATACATCGTCCTTCGGAGACAGGCAAAATTGTGTACTGTCTTTCCTTTTTCAAAAGGTCACCTAAATAGTTCAGTGTCTAATTTCAACATTGGGGCTTATTAAAATTGGCTTTTAGACTGCAGAGCTCTGACAAAAATTAAGCCTCCAGGGCCTTGCGAATTGCTAAAGTGTGTGACCTTTAGAAAAAAAAATCTAGCTCTAAAAATAAACTGTCCTTCTAAACAATTTGTGGTTGAATTCAGCCATCCTTAGGCCAGAACACCGGGATGGGGCCAAATTTAATGACATATATTTCAACTTGAGAGCTGAAATGTGAGCTTTGCACTTTGAGACGGTCTGGAAAAGGGGCAGTCAGATGTTGGACAAATGCAATAAATAGCCACCTGGCTGGTAGCCTATGGTAAGCAGAAATTATCTCCAGAGAAGCAAGCAGAAAAATTAGACCAGTCAGTTCTATCACAGAAAGGGCTTACTTTTGCATGGACAGAAAGGCCCTTTTAAGTTGTTATTAAGCTACTATGGTCTGTGAATTTTTTTAATGCATTAATGAAAAAACAGGAGGAGTACGCCCTAAACCAAAATCTTTTCATTGAGTGTGCAATGTCTATTTGTTGAAATTCATAATATATGTCCCTATGTATTCGTTTATTTCCATGGATGAGGAGAAAGTGGGGTGAGAAGCCAAAGCGTTCCTGTTCTGCTCCGATTTGACCTTTGTTTGTTTTGAGGATCGAGAAGGAAATTCTTTAAATATCCACTTTTCTCGCTTTACGATTGCCCCGCATTTTGACGAAACCGCATTACGATCTTTTTGCAATCGCAAACCGATGGTCTAAATCGGTTTTTTTCTCTGCTCCGATTTGACCTTTGTTTGTTTTGAGGATCGAGAAGGAAATTCTTTAAATATCCACTTTTCCCCTTCTCCAGCAGAAAACCCAGGTCAGCTTTTGAAATACAATCCAGTTAGTCTTGCATAAAAAGTGAAGAGGTCCCATAAAAGCAGCTCCCTTGCCAACAACCACCCCACTCCCCACTGGCACCCCGGTCAGGGTAAAACCGGTGCCCAGCTCAGCTGATCGGCGGTTTCAAAATGGCCGCCCGGTAAACAAAATGGCTCCCTGCTGTTTTCTGGGATGGATTCCTTGCAAGACAGGCAGTGAAAATGGCTGCCCTATGGAGGATCTTCGCTAGATGGTGAGTTTTGACTGCACTGGAACACATTGAAGGGGTTTCAATGCGTTTCAATGGGTTGTTTTTTTCACATTACGATGTTTTCGCTTAACGGCGATTTTCCTGGAACAGATTATCGTCGTTAAGCGAGGCACCACTGTATCCACTTTCCCCCTTCTCCAGCAGAAAACCCAGGTCAGCTTTTGAGACACAATCCAGTTAGTCTGGCATAAAAAGTGAAGAGGTCCCGTAAAAGCAGCTCCCTTGCCAACAACCGCCCCACTCCCCACTGACACTCCGGTCAGGATAAAACCGGTGCCCAGCTAGAATTCAACAAGCCGAACAACATCCACACAAGGTAAAAACAGGGGAAGGATGGGTTCCAACCTGTTATCCGTGGGGCGGGACTGAACTGCTGGAAATTCTGTTCCCACATGTCTTCGAGATCCCGAATCAGCACAACCTCCTTCCCCAGGTCACCACGTTCCTCCTCTTCATCGTAACCCTTCTCCGCAATTCTCCGCAGACGTTCGTTCTCTGCTAAACGGGTCATCTCATGGGTGGAATATATGCTCTTCTCTACTTCCAGCTAGACAGCAAAAGTCGGTGGTCAGATCGAATGCCCGGGTAGCGAGTTACTGCAAACCAGCTCCCCAGATTCCCTACTGCTTAAGAGAACTCTAGAAAGTTGCAAGACGTTCAAAGCGCATAAAATAAAACATCCACAGCAGAATATTCCGAGGGGAAATGACAGAGTTCCAGACTTCTACTCCAGACCATACTCTCTCTTTTTGGTTTCCAGAGTGTCTGTTGCATTTTGTTCCATTAGGCATTCCTCTTTTCCTGCTGCCTATTATTTCCCCCTGCAAATCTAGACTTCCTCAGGCCACGTCCAGAGCACTATATCCCCTGAACAACAAGCAGTGGCAAATTTCCTCTATACCACGGTGCATTTTAAAAAAATCAATGATTTTAGTTTGCACCACAATTTAAACTGTCAAAAACATCTTTTTTTTTTTTAAATTAGATTGTGACTTAAATCCATTTGATTTTCATCAAATCCACCCTGCTCTATTGTGCCAGGAAGATGTCTGTTGGATGGGAGGATGGGTTTATGCACCAGGGGTCTATCTAACATGGGATCCACCTAAAGCAGGAATCGGGATACAGCAGGACCCCCTTGTCTGCTGGAACAGTGTATCCGCTGATTTACTTACCTGCTGCCTGAAAATACTAAATAGATGAACTCAGAAATATGCATTTATGTGTGAAAATAAAATCAAAAGTTAAAAAAAGACATGGTGGCACTTTAAGAACTTTTATATTTTTTCCATGTGAGCTTTTATGAACAAGTCCATAACAACAAGCAGTGGCAAATTTCCTCTATAACACGGTGCATTTTTTAAAAAATCAATGATTTTAGTTTACACCACAATTTAAACTGTCAAAAATATCCATTTTTTTAAAAAAAAATTAAATTGTGACTTAAATCCATTTGATTTTCATCAAATCCACCCTGCTCTATTGTGCCAGGAAGATGTCTGTTGGATGGGAGGATGGGTTTATGCACCAGGGGTCTATCTAACATGGGATCCACCTAAAGCAGGAATAGGGATACAGCGGGACCCCCTTGTCTGCTGGAACAGTGTATCCGCTGATTTACTTACCTGCTGCCTGAAAAGACTAAATAGATGAACTCAGAAATATGCATTTATGTGTGAAAATAAAATCAAAAGTTAAAAAAAGACATGGTGGCACTTTAAGAACTTTTATATTTTTTCCATGTGAGCTTTTATGAACCAGTCCATCAGACCTCAATGGACATGTTATTTCCAAGGTGTATTTACCACAACTGGCCACTAGAGGCCGCCAGAGACCATGCCATGGATAGCGTTCGCGACATCCGCGATTTTCGGCATCCGCGGGGGGCCCAGAACCGATCCCCCGCGGACCTCCTGTCTTGAACAAAGCATTAGGTGCTAGTCCTCACTGAGGTCTAGTCACCCAGTGGGTGGCCTCGGGCCATTCCCTCCTCCCGTCCTGACTCACAAGGCTGTTGTGCACGTGGAAAGGGAAGGAGCCCCGCGCATCCTACGGACGTGAATGGGGGTAGAAGTGGGGCAGAAACACCAACAATTGGGATTTCCTAGTTCCCTCCACACAGACGGGGGGGGTCCCCTCTTCTGCGCATGCGCCCTGCTCCTCTTCCTCTCCCCCCCCTCCCGCTCACCTGCTGAAACAACTCGGCCATTTCCACCTCTTCCGGGCTCGGGGCCTGCGAGACGGTCGGCGGCCTCTGCAAGCAAAGGCCGCCGAAGAGCTTCCACCGGGAGGAGGCCGAGGCCGCCGCCGCCGGCTCGGAAAGGCCGCGGTTGCCCCAAGGCCGGAGGCCTCGACCAGCCCCGCGGAGCAGCGCCCGACTTAAGGGCGCCGCCATCTTGCCGCCACGAGACCGTCATGCACCGCGGCGGTCGCCTTGGCAACGCGGGAGCGGCGAGAAGGCAGAGCGCCGAAAGGGGAAAAAATGAGAGAGAGACGCGCTGCCTTCACTTGCGGGACGCGTCGAGGGGGACGGGGCTACCGTTAGCCTCGAGAAAAGAAACCGTAGCTGTAGAAGAGCTTCCAGTATTCGTTCGTTCTCTTAGATATATACAATATATATATATACACGCTCTCTCTCTGTATATATCAGGATTTCATGCAACACGGTAGAAATGTCGTATTATCTATAAATATATAGTCACACAGACAAGACATAAGCAGCAATAACAGCTCGCCCAATTTGACAGCTGCAGAACCAGAGGTTGGGAGTTTAATTCCGCACTGGGCCTCCTTGAGAGGGGCTGCGAAAGGGGAAAAAAATGAGAGAGAGACGCGCTGCCTCCACTTGCGGGACGCGTCGGGGGGGGGCGGGGCTACCGTTAACCTCGAGAAAAGAAACCGTCGCCGTAGAAGAGCTTCCAGTATACGTTCGTTCTCCTAGGTATATACAGTCTATATATATATACACGCTCTCTCTCTCTCTCTCTCTGTATATATCAGGATTCCATGCACACACGGTAGAAATATCGTATTATCTATAAATATATAGTGCATTTGTACTGTATTGCATGGAATCCTGAGTTTTGCTTAGCGAGGACTACTATGAAGCAAGGTCAGAAACCTTTGAAATGTGGATTTCAAGAGTTTCCTGGATCAAGAGGGTAACAAATGAAAAAAAAATATATAAAGGGGAATGAATAGAGATGAGGAAAACCCCCACCACACACACACACACATACACACACAGAGAGTATTTCCATTGCATTGCATGGAATCCTGATTTTTGCAATGCATGGTCCCAGTGCCAAGTTTCTTTTGTATATTATACTCTTCCTCTAAAGGAAGCCCCCGCCCCCCCCGGGCAACAAGCAGCCATGGAATTCTGATTTTTGCAATGCATGGTCCCAATGCCAAGTTTCTTTTGTATATTATGTACTCTTTCTCTAAAGGAACCCCCCCCCGGCAACAAGCAGCCTGGCTAGGAGCAGGGATTCTTGGACTACAACTCCCGCATGGAATTCTGATTTTTGCAATGCATGGTCCCAATGCCAAGTTTCTTTTGTATATTATGTACTCTTTCTCTAAAGGAACCCCCCCCCGGCAACAAGCAGCCTGGCTAGGAGCAGGGATTCTTGGACTACAACTCCCGGAGGCCTCCACCCCTGGCTATGTTGGCCATGATTTCTTCGTAGTCCA